TTGTAATTAAACCCACTCGTTATTATGTTCGCGTCCAAAAGTGTGTTTTGCCTTTTATGCAAAAAGACAGAAATGTGACTTTGATCGTTATTCCCCTGGACTCTACATATGTATCTACCATACTGGCATACCGATTGTATTTTAGTGAGTTTGACGGACAATGATCAGAATATGTTCCCTTTTCACTGTTAATACAAGTACCCCAGTGACACTTCCAACCAGGGGTTTCATGCAAGCTTAATCCAGTATAGTCAATCAGAATATGTTCACTCTGTGACACTTCCAACCAGGGGTTCAATGCAAGCTTAATCCGGTCTAGTCACTGAAATTCAATCAAGAGTTTAGACGGAACCGCTACAGCCCGGGAAAAATGTCTTCATATATATACGCGAGATAGTTATGTTTATCTCCAAGTTTCATTGGTCAACCTCATACAGGCTTAGAGAAACACATGGTTCAACCTCATACAAGCTTAGAGAAACACATGGTTCAACCTCATAAGCGTAGAGAAAAACATGGCTGGGCGTGCGCCGTATGGGGTGGAGAGCTTGCAGACCAACGACAATTACATTGGTAAACCTCATAAAGCATGGTGAAAGATAGGGCTAGGCGTGGCTCCATATGACGTAGAGAGCGTTTGGACCAACGACAACCGGGTGGGGGTGGGCCACTAGGGGTGAGCTGGAAAACCCTTCTAATGCCTATTTTAGTTTTACAAGTTGCAATTTTCATTTCTCCACAATACCATTGTCACAGTGTTAAAATACAGAATGCGCTTTTCAATAATACAAATACACTATAACAGTTATTTTGCACATTACACTCTCTCCATTCTGGGGGGTTGGATGGCCGAATGGTTAGCACGTTCGTGCTATATCATAAGGCCTGTCATTGAGTGAACTGGCGTGTTTTCGAATCCCCGGTTGTACGTGACAAGGAGTAGCCTCGCCTGTCCAGCCTCATGGGTTTTCTCCGGGTACTCCGGTTTCCCCCCACTGCTAAAGACCCCTACGCACAAGCGAATTATTGAAATAAAATTAAAACCATATGTTAGTCCCGAAATGACCTGGTTTGTGTTGAGTGGACGTTAAACCCCCTCTCTCTCTCTCATCTCCATTCTGGATTTTGCATAATAGACAAATGCATAATAGAACTTCGCATATTAGAACTTATACCTTATGCATACGGAAAAAGTCAGGAATAGGACGGAAATTAGTAATTGATGTGATCAATCTACAAGGTCAAGGTCAGTTGAAGGGATGAGGACGGTTCTCATATTTACAGACTGTGGGGAAACGTCAATGAAATGAAATAAAATGGGGTTTAACGTCTGCTCCGAATTGGCTAATGAAAACGGGCATCCGCCATGCAGTGCCATGAGGGAAAATTTGCCCGGACAGCGGCGTTATATACGATCTACTTTTGTATCGAATTCCAACTGCCACGGGATCTTTTACGTTTACGCTAATGTGTACACGTGGCCGTCTCGTTTTTACGTCCCATTCGAGCGATTAGACAGCTGTCATTGCCAGGCCCCCGTCCGGAATCACTGACAAGGGGAAAGAAAAATGAATTAATTCGGGTGGTACGAAAGTCTATTAAATGACAGGACAGGACAGTGTTAGAGAGAGAGAGAGAGAGAGAGAGAGAGAGATGGGGTTTAACGTCCACTCGACACAAACTAGGTCATTTCGGGACTAACATATGGTTTGATTTTATTTCAATAATTCGCTTGCACGTAGGGGTCTTTAGCAGTGGGAGGAAACCGGAGGACCCGGAGAAAACCCACGAGGTTGGACAGGCGACCCTACTCCTTATCACGTACAACCGAGGATTCGAAACCACGCCAGTTGACTCAATGACAGGCTTTACGATAAAGCGCGCACGTGCTAACCATTTAGCCATCCAACCCCCCATTTAAAGTGTTACATATCACTAAAGAGCAGGTTCGTTTTAAAATATTTAAATAATTTTCTGGAACACTTATATTTACATACTATTATACTGTATTTTAACACTGTGACATTAGTATTATGGAGCAACGGAAATTGCAAATTGTAAAACTAGAATACGTATTTTGAACTGCTGACATAGTGTTTGTTTGTACAGTGAACATTGAAATAATATTGGCAACGTTATCCTTCCATAGAGTTACCTCCCCTGTATCAAAATTATTTATTGATCATTTTTTACTTTAGTTTTTTTCTTTCATGCCTGGTCCAGGGACGGACTGGGGATAAGCCTGGTAGACTGGGGGCGGGGGGAGTGTGTGGGTGGGGGTGGGGTGGGGATAATAATATTCTCACTAATTGTTGAATATACATATTTTTTGATAAATTTGTAAGATAGCCAAACGCTAGAAACATCGAGATATATTCTAGAAAGCACAATTCACAATCGGTTTCTCCCCCTCCCTTCCCCTCCCCTCCAATCCACCTATAGTTACCTGGCCCCTTACAAGCACCCGGCACCCAGCCCATACCGGGTCCTGTCTTCTGAATGCAAACTAACTTGTATAGAAAGATACATGAGGTTCCAGGAAGTTGAGTTGCCTGGGAACTGGACACTCGACAAGAAAGTACAGGGTTCGATCCCACTACCCCATATTGCACATGTAGCCACAGAATAAGAATGGCCATATGTTAGTCCCAAAATGAACTAAGTATTCATTCCATCCTTTTCCGGTTTGGTCGGGTGTTCGATCCTTGCATTGGCCGAGAAAGTTATCCAGATTTTCCGGCTTGGTTCTCCCTTGTCAGTGATGCAGGACGGAGGGGCTGACAAGGACAGCTGTCTAGTCGTTCGGATCGGACGAAAAACCGAGGTCCCGTGTACACATTGGCGTGCACGTAAAAGATCCCTTGACAGTTGGAATTCGATATAAGAGTAGGCCGTAGTGCCGCTGTCCGGGCAAAATTTCCCTCATAGCACACTGTATGGCGTATGCCCGTCTTCATTAGCCCAGTTCAGACCAAAACAGTAGGACGTTAAACCCCATTTCATTTCATTTCATTTACTTTTCCGGTTTAGGAGCCACGGTGGCTAAGTGGGTAAGATGCTGGCTCGCTAGCCTGAAGTTCGGGTGTTCGATCCCTGCATTGGCCGAGAAAGTTCATCCAGATTTTCCGGCGTGGTTCCCCTTGTCAGTGGTGCAGGACGAAGGGCCTGACAAGGACAGCTGTCTAGTCCTTCGGATGGGACGAAAAACCGAGGACCCTTGCATACACCCCTTGGCAGTTGGAATTCGATATAAGAGTAGGCCATAGTGCCGCTGCCCGAGCAAAATGTCCCTGATATCACACTGTATGGCGTATACAGGTCCCGTGTATACATTGGCATACATGTAAAAGTTCCCTTGGTAGTTGGAATTCGATATAAGAGCAAGCAAAATTTCCCTCAGTTCACACTGTATGAAAAATGTCTGTCTTCATTAGCCCGGTCGGAGTAGAACAGTGGGACGTTAAACCCCCATTACATTTCCCTTTCCAATTTAGATCTGTGTTATAGAGGTGGGAGGGGGGACCGAATGGTTAAAACGTGCGCGTTGTATCATAGGGTCTGTCATTAAGTCAATTGGCGTGGTTTCGATTCCGCGCTTGTGCGTGACAAGGAGAAGTTCGCCCGTCTAACCTCGTGAGTTTTCTCCGGGTGCTCTGGTTTTCTCCCACTGCTAAAGACCCCTACGTGCAAACGAATTATTGACATAAAATTGAGTTGCACGACGTATACCCGCCTTCATTATCCCAGTTGGTACAGACAGTCCGGGGTGTTAAACCCCATTTTATTTCATTTCTCCGTAGAAGGCTTTTCAAGGCTCCTAAACCACACTCGATAAAGATAGAAAATACATCGACACCTGAATTGTACTTTCTTTTATTTATTAGCAAAATGTAGGAAAGTACAAATTAATATGCAAACAAAATAATTAAAAAATGATGAATGTATGAAACTATTTCTGGATAAGAAAGTTGACTTTGAATGCCTCGTCCGTATGATTTCTAGGATGACGTATTAAGGTCGTACTCCGCCACTAGCATGTCCGGTAGTAGTAGTGGTATCACATATGGTTATTATTACCTATATAAACAAATTATATATATAAAAATAACATTTCAAACATTTCAAATATTGCTTCACTTCCCCCTTTTTTCAAATCACTATGTTGGCTTACGAATACAAGGATCTAGCAAGCGACAACCATGGGATGAAAAACCGAGGTCTCATGCACACATTGGCGTGCACGTAAAAGACAGTTGGAATTCGACAAAAGAGTAGGCCGTAGTACCGCTATCTGGCAAACTTTCCCTATAGCACTCCGTATGTCGAATGCCCGTCTTTATTAGCCCAGTCGGAGCAGAACTGTAGGACGTTAAACCCGATTTCATTTCTTACGAATATACCCGAGAGGTCAAACGTAAAGTAAATTGAGAATTCTGGAAAATCCCGACTGGGGTATTATATTAAAGTAATTATTTTTCTAATTAAAAGTCCTCGATAAGATTCCCAAAATCAATTTATTTCACATATGTAATGCGAAAGCCTTCGAAGTCTGTGTAAAATGCCTTCTACGTGTGACGTCACATCACACGGCATCGATCATTGACTTCCATAGCGCTTGCATTGTTTACATAAGACGCTGTAACGTACACTGATAGGACAGAATGGTGGCTTTTATCCATTTTACGCAATGGCGCACTATTTTATATACACATTGTTACAGTAAATATGAAATATTTTTTATCTTGATATACTTCAAACAGCTTTAATTAATTTTATAATACTTCAAATAAATGTTCAAGAATTTAATTTACAGATGGAAGAAAGTTAATATTGGGAGCTCATTAACTCGCACCAATATCACCCCCCCCCCCCCCCCAGTGATGGTAGCGGCCTAGCTGACGTTCATGTCATCAGATAACCATCGCTGTCCTGGATTTCGACCTATTTATTATTACAGAAATAGGGGATGGGGGCTGGGGTGTCATAATATGCATTTCCAATCATAAAGACAAACTTACGTAATCCACCCAGCCACGGAAATCCAGGTAACCCTCCCCGTGTCCGACTTGGAATGCACACATGGTCACTTCTAAGTTGCCTGTAAAAGAGAAGGTGTGTATTAAATAAAATATATCAAATATTAAAAACATTCGGTCCGGAAAAAACAAAATACCAAGTCGAGTAGACGTATAACACAAATCAGTGGGCTAGCTATATGGGTGCGTCAAATACGAAGTGATATAGATTGTTCTAGAAAGACAGGCCATGGGCTTTCTGGATGTCAAATTGTCGCTCTGCAACGTCCCTAGTTGACAGAACTGCAATGGAATGACGCGAAATTTAGTCCTCTCACCATTCTGTCAGTGCCGACAACCGACGCAGAATTCCGTCCTCTCACAGTTCTGTCAGCGACGACAACTGACGTGGTGTAATTAGAATCATGACGTTATGAAACACAACAGACGGCACATGCTCTATAGCCCGAAATCACTATTTCCACTCGATAGTCACTTATTTTGGGTTTCAATCCCGGAACTTTCGATCGAGTATCCCCAAAGTTTTATAGCTCTATGAATAGATTATACTATGACTTAACTTGTTCGCAATTAACAGAAGCAGATGAGAACACGATATTACCATCAGGAAACGGTAATCCAACAACTTTGGATTTGGTTTTTACTTAATGTACAAATTGATTCCGCGTTAAATCTCCTGTCGAGAAATAGTACCTGTGTTATCAGTGCGATATTTGTCAGGTATTTGTAGTAACACGTTAACACTCAGGTAAATCTATGCAAATGCAAAACAAAGTTATTTTTTCATAGACGTTCTTTACTGTGAATACATTATAGAAATCTTTACGAATGACGGATATTTTTAGTCGAGTAGGCAATTGTATTAGGAGCACTGGAATCCGGCGGGTTTTTTTAAAGTCTGTGTTCTATGTATCCGTTTTGCCGGCTTTTCCGCGTGCATTTTTGCCAGATAATATTTAACCGGTATTATTACATTTGCATTAGATCGACTTTTTCGCCGGTGAAGACGAGCGCGGAAACGCCACTAAAACGCGTACAAGGTAAGCGGGCTTTTTAGCGAAATGTAATAGATGAAACTACCTACCAACGAAAGCCTGGGAATCAGTAGCACTGCCATCTTTACCAGTAAACGTATTAGACTTGATTTCATATACCACCTCTCGCCATTCGCCCTGTAAATACAAAATGTCTTGATTTGGGCAGATCATCCAAATTGGATAAAAAAATAAATTATCTATATTATGATTGCAATATCCAAAAAACACTACATATTATTTTCAAGAGTGCGCCGTTTATGGACATGTAGGGTTTATTATACATGTGACGCAACTTTTCAAGTGTTTTCGTAAGTGGGAGTTCAGACTGTGCGTTTGATTCATGTGGTCATGCTGTCGGATCCGAAGGGGAATTGTGGCCCACCCTCGCATGTTCTATTCTATCGAGACTGGTTTCATGCTACAGCAAAATTTATAACAGAAAAATCGAACATCCTGACGATATCAGCCATCGTCTCGTGTAAACCACCGTAAGATCTGCTCGGAAGAAAAATCACACGGATTGTTAGCAAGCATCTACACGAGGTACTAGACATGGTTCCTTGTCAGGTTTTCCGTCCTGCGCTAGGCTATTGACAAGGGAAAACCATGCTGCGAATTTCGGGGTTCTTTTTCCGGTCAATGCGAAACGCGTTACCAAGTCGTTATGGCAGACCTAACACACCCTGCCCGAGCACAAAACGCTCAAGCCGCCGTCAGATATACTTGGAGAGAAATGAGGCTTAACGTCCACTCGATACAAACTTGGCTGTGAGAGGAAATCTGAGGACTCGGAGAAAACCCACGAGGTTGGACATGCTACCCTACTCCTTGTCAGGTACAAGCGGGGAATCGAAACCGCGTGACTTGACTCATTCACAGCCCCTCCCCCGACCTAACGCGCACGTGTTAAACCATTGGGCGATCCGAACCCTCTAATATACTTACAGATGAGGCAGTAGTCAATTGCTGTTTTAATCTAAGGGGAGACTTCGCTACGAATTGGGTATCCGAGCCATTAGCTACAATAGCAACGGTTGAGGCCTCATTACAGTCACCATTAGCAACTACAGCTTGTTCAAATGTAGTGGCGGGAAATTCAGGTTTGTATCTCGTCAGGATCGTGATCCGTTTCCGGAAATCAGCATTGGCCAGGCGAAGTATCTTGACGCTACTGTTACCATTAAAATAAGCCACACCATTATCAATGACAGCACCGAAGTTGTCATATTCTCCTGGTTCCGGTCCATTAAAATCAATGTCCACAATGTGTTTACAAACTGAAAGTACATTAGACAAGAAATAGGTTGAATTTGTTTCAATATGGTTAAAGTACAGTTCTATATTTCGTGTCGTTTTATTATACTTTCGATGGCCTACACTACATGATGGTCTAACCAATTGTCGTGGAAAGTCGCGTAAGGGGTCGTACGAGCGACTTTTGACCCTATGACGTCAGACATTGATTAATCAATCAGCTTTGACGTTTCTAGTGGTTTATCCAAAGTTCCGTGCACCTCACGCCAAAAATTCGCCGTTACAGACCGTTTAATTAGCTAATCCCTCTCATCCTAGTGTAGTAAAGACAAATAAAACGAAATTTTGAACTATAAAAAAACGAAACGAAATAGGAGCCGTGTTTTAATCAGATTGAATTTGTTGGATCTGTAGCAAGATTTGCATTCATTGCCAAAGGTAATAAACAGGTGATAAACAGGTGTTAATGGGAGTGAACAGGTTAGGAGAAAAAGAGAGAAATGGGGCTAAGCCTCCACTCAACTCAATCTATGTCATTTCGGGACTAACATATGATTCAATTATGTTTTAAATATTCGCTTGCCAGGGAGGGGGGGGGGGAGGAGAAAACCCACGAGATTGGACGGGGGACCCTAATTCTTGTCACGAACAAGTGGGGGGATCTAAACCATGTCACCTGACTCCTTGACAGACCTTCTGATCGAAAGTGCACGTGTTAACCTATTCGGTCACCCGAACCCTCGCATTGGTTAGAGTTAGAAACTCCCTCTGGACGAAACATTATACAGTGCGGGAGCAGCGCCATGAAGGTCAATCATTGATACCCTAGTAGGGTGTTTTATTAATGGAAATGAAAATGAATTGAAATGGAGTATGACGTCCTATTGATCTGCTCTTGTTGGACAATTGAAGACAGACATATGCCATGCAGTGTTATATAAGGTCCTGTTTTACCTAGTTGGTAGACCTATGGTAACTTACTATGGTCCAATTGTCTGATAGAAGCAATCTTTAGTATACGTATTAGTTTTTTATCTCAACTATATCTCATTGTGGGAGGTTGGATGGCCAAATGGTTAGCACGTGTGCGCTGTATCATAAGGTCTGCCATTGAGTCCACTGACGTGGTTTCGAATCCCCGGTTGTACGTGACAAGGAGTAGGGTCGCCTGTCTAACCTCGTTCTTTTTCTCCGGGTACTCTGGTTTCCTCCCACTGCTAAAGACCCCTACGCACAAGCAAATTATTGATATAAAATTAAACCATATGTTAGTCCCGAAATGACCTAGTTTGTGTCGAGTGGACGTTAACCCCCTCTCTCTCTCTCTCTCTCTCTCTCTCTCTCCTTCTTATACCCGTCAAAGCTACTAAAATTCTTCTTCAAACATGGTAGATATAAGAGTAGGCGATAGTGCCGCTGCCCGGGCAGAATTTCCCTCATAGCACACTGTATGGCGTATGCCCGTCTTCATTAACCCAGTTCGGAGTAGAACAGTAGGACGTTAAACCCCATTTCATATATTTTCTAATTGTGTACACTGTCTCTTATTGTATTACACGTGTTACACAAACAAGTCTTCTTCAAACGTAGTACCCTGTTATATTTTCAAATTTCTCGTTTTATCAACTTTCTCTTGGTCCAGTCATTTCTTATTTTACTTCCTAATCACAAGTGATAGTCTAAGTGATATCGGGTGTTCCAAACTCACCTGCTGGGCATGATGATGGATCAGCCAGAACACATCCACACGCATCTTGATCATAAGTGGTACCAGGCCCACAAGGTTGTCTGTACACGTCTCCATTGGATTCCTGGTTATAGTAGCATGGTTCATTTGCGATGGCTGTCAGGTCACAGGTGTCTGAATTAATAGGAAAACACATTATTATTTTAAAATTCGGCAATGTTTAAAGATAGGAGAGAGAGAGAGAGAGAGAGAGAGAGGGAGGGAGAAGGAGGGATAACGTCCAAACAGTCATTTCGTGACTAACATATGCTGCGATTTGTTGTTAATAATTCACTTTATCGTAGGAGTATTTAGCAGTGGGGGAAATCCGGCTCCTTGGCATCCAATCAAAGCCGTGCGAATCAATGACAAACCTTTTGATTTAAACCGCACGCGTTAGACCGGTCGACGAGGATTACCGACTTCGTGATATACACAAGGATTACCTATTCCGGAGAATGCCGAGGACTCCCGACGAGTGATATAGGCGAGGGTTGAGGATTAATTATTCCGGAGAATGTCCAGGACTCTCTACTGGTAATATAGGCGAGGGTTGGGGATTAGTTATTCCTTAGAATGTTGAGGACTCCCGACGAGTGATATAGGCGAGGGTTGAGGATTACTTATTTCGGAGAATGCCGGAGACTCCCGACGTGTGATATATGCGAGGATTGAGGATTACTTATTCCGTAGAATGCCGAGGACTCCCGACGGGTGATATAGGCGAGGATTACTTAATCCATAATATAGGTGATATATTACTATTTCGGGAAAATGCCGAGGTCTCCCGAATGGTGATATAGGCGAGGATTACATTATCCGGAGTAAGCCGAGATCTTCCGACAGCTGATAATATTAAAGCTTACTTACCGGTAATATTTGTTTTGCAGCTTGGATCATCAAGACAGGCACGCGTATCATCATTGTAGGATTGTCCCTCTGGGCATGTGCGGGGTGTTGATACCTTGTTAATACATTGATAATATTCAGAACAATTTCCAGTTGATTTGTAGGTCGCGGGTGCTCCAGCTACAGCACATGGATCTGTCAAATAAAATAGATGCAATCAGTTAATACGTTGAGAGGGGGGGGGGGGGCTAAGGTGTGATTTCCACGAGCATCATACACGTCTTGAGTAAAGCATGAAACTTGGCGTATCCAACGCAAGTCGAAAGGATTTCAATTGGCTATACCAATGTTTTCAGTATCCAAAACCGTTATGGAAGTATCAAACGTATCCGATTTCTTTTCGTTCTTTATAGTTTAAAATTTCGTTTTACTTGTCTTCAATACACTAGGATATGTAAGAGTTTTTAATGTCAGTTTCCCACTATCGTGCGATGCGTTACGATAATATTGTCCCTATTGAGTCCACGATCTGGTACGTGCAGATGCGTTCGGATACGTTTCGATACGGCCAACACGATTGCTTGCTACGATCTCACGATATGATACGACATGATAAGTTCACCATGAATACCCTACAATTAAAACCACGATTTCAATCGTAGCGCGAATCGTGATGGCGGGAACCGAGTATAAATAGTCCGCGTTCTTGTTGATTTGAGGGATTAGCCGAGATCTTGTCGCCTGTGGGTTGAAATTCTCAGTGATAAAATACACACCAGGTTACAAATGAAATGAAATGAAATGAAATGGGGTTTAACGTCCCACTGTTCTGCTCCTTAATTGGACTAATGAAGACGGGCATAAGCCATACAGTGTGCTATGAGGGAAATTTTGCCCGGGCAGCGGTGCTACGACCTACTCTTATATCGAATTCCAACACGCCAATGTGTACGCGGGAACTCGGTTTTTCGTCCCATCCGAACGACAAGACAGCTGTCCTTGTCTGGCCCTCCGTCCTGCATCACTCACTAGGGGGAACCACGCCGGAATATCTGGATGAACTTTCTCGGCCAAAGCGGGGATCGAACACCAGGCCTCCAGGCTAGCGAGCCAGCGTCTTACCCACTTAGCCACGTGATCCCCACACCAGGTTACACAGGCAATTCTATTCTAAACATGGCATATTGAATACTATTATTGCGGCTGTTTGACCAAATCTACATTGGAATGCACGTAAAAGATCCCTTGGCAGTTGGAATTCGATATAAGAGTAGGCGATAGTGCCGCTGCCCGGGCAAAATTTCCCTCATAGCACACTCTATGGCGTATGCCCGTCTTCATTACCCCTGTAGGATGTTAAACCCCATTTCATTTCATTTCCTTAGCGTTTATCTTTTACTATGTCATACGCAATGATCCAGTATTCGAGAAACAACTCTACTTGATCGACTAGCAGAACATGGTCTCTTTTGGCTCGTTAGCTATTGGTACAATTGTCCATTAGCTACATGGTTGTAGGCTCGTTAGCTATTGGTGACTCGACCCCTCCCCGAGCCTATCCCACACCCCCAACAAGTGAATACCACTTACCTTTAGTACAGCTTAGGCTGCTAATGTGGTTACAAGTCAGTATAGACCGGTCCCAGAAAGTTCCAAATCCACAAATCCTGTTGGTATAAGCACGTAATACACCTGATGCAGTAAATTGACACTGTACATACGTCTCACATGTATCTCCTGGGAGATATCCAATACCATTTCTCATGACACACCCAAAACATGGTCCAGGCTCCTCGTATATCTCTTCTGTTAAAAAATAATCAAAAATTACAGTACCGCGGGCTTGTATCCAGAGGTGGGTGAGGGGGGGGGGGGCTTATGCGGAATCTATACAAGAGAGGTCGAGCAGAACGACTAGACCTTGGTCCCTGGCAGATTCTCTGTCATGCACCACTGACAACTGAAAGCCAAGCAGCGAAAATATATAGAACTTGATCGGCTAACATTCGATTTACTCACCGAGCCACTGTGGCTTCTAAAGGTGCGAAATACATAATTACAAATTACTTTTAAAGCTAGTGACCTGCGCGTAGAACCGTGTCAGATGGGGCGAACGTTCAAATAGCGAAGTTGTATAAGAGGTAAACGTCTTGTGCACGACACCCGCTAAATATTACTTTTATATCTGTAAATTATAGTAGTAAGTTAAGGAGAACCACACCACACATACACACAAGACAAACCCAGGGACAATACACATAAACACTTACACAAGACAAACCCAGGGACAAGACAGATAAACACTTACACAAGACAAACCCAAGGACAAGACAGATAAACACTTACACAAGACAAACCCAGGGACAAGACACATAACGCACACTTTATATACACAGTCATTTCAAATAATAAACATTAAAACATTTATGTTTCAAATGAATGGATCCGCAAGCTAGCGGTAAGCGTCAACCGCGCTGTGTAGTCTTCGGGCTGTAGTGATACCACTGGCTGTGAGAATTTGAAACATTCACATTTTAATATATGTCGATTTACATTGGCAGTCACATGCATGTTCTGACTTTTATGTCGATTTTAAAAGACCAACGAAAAGACATGCACGGCGATCGATTTAATTGCACCCAATGAGATAAATGTCGACCTGGGGAGAAACTGCTCTGTAAAAATATTGTTGCCAATTCAGAATTACTGTTTACATAACATTATGACATGCTGTTCGATTGCTATGGATGACCAGCACCAGAATTATGGACTATGAATTAAGAACACTGAATAAAGAGCTGTTTGGTTCTCCATAGATCGCATCCAATTTTCATTAGATGGACCAGAGTGTGACCACGGTCAATTAGGCGTGTACATTAAGAAAGTAATACTTACGTTGAGCGAGTGAATGATGTGCCACAACACTCACCAAGAAAACTAGTAACATCTGATTCATATTGACTGTAGTCACACTGTTAATCATAGAGAGAGAGAAATAAGTTTTAATGTCCACTCCTATAAACTATGTCATTTAAGGACTGACATACATGTATGGTTAAATCTTTTATTTCAATAATTCTCTCGTAAGTAGGCGTCTTTAGCAGTGGGGGGAGGGGTGGAGGGAGCCCGCGAGGTTGGCCAGGCGACCCTATTCCTTGCCACGTGCTAGCGGGGAATCGAAATCAAGCCACTTGACTCAATTACTATCTAACGCGCACGTGTTAAATAATTCGACCATACAACCCGCGCTTCGTAAATAATGAAACGATTATACAGACATATCCTTGTATTTCAGCGAATCGTGTCCTTTTGAAATAAAATTGGGTTTAATGCTCTGCTGTTCTGTATGCAGCAAAGGGGTTAATGTGTGCCTTAGGGAAATTTCGGTAATGCCTACTCTTATGTCGAATTCCAATTGTCATAGGCGGTTCTTTTACGTGCATTCCAGCGTATAGACGAGACTCGGTATTTCGTACCATCTATACAACTATAGCTGCAAGTTAACACGCAATTCACTCCAAATACTTCAGCTCACGTTATCCTTCAACTATTTTGAAATAATACTTCAAAATTGTTTTTGTGAATATAAATAATTAAGAAATAGAATATTTTGTATTCAGAGATAATATCTAACAATATTTTCATCTTTTCATTTACGTTATATAAATTTATATTTCATATTTTCATTAACGCTATATAAATCCATATTTTCATTTACGCTATATAAATTGATATTTTCATTTACGCTATATAAATTCATATTTTCATTTACGCTATATAAATTCATATTTTCATTAACGCTATGTAAATTTATATTTTCATTAACGTTATATAAATTAATATTTTCATTAACGCTATGTAAATTTATATTTTATTCAAGGTTATATAAATGCATATTTTAATTAACATTATACAAATTCATAATATACTAAACGCTATACAAATTCATATTTACATTAACGCTATATAAATTTATACATTACTAAAAGCTATAGAAAAATTCATATTTCATTAACGTTATATAAATTCATGGCGCAGAACAGTAGGACGTTAAACCCCATTTCATTTCATGTTATATAAATTCATACTTTACTAAAAATCGATAGAAAATCCATACTTCACTAAAGGTTATATAAATTCATATTTTACGTAACGTTATATTAATTCACATTTTCATTAAAATACGATGTACTTGCTTCCCTTATTTATATTATAATATTTTACTAAACGTTATGATAAATAAATTCATATTTTCATTTCCTTATAATTTTGTAATATTTTACTAAACGTTATAATTAAATTTTATATTTTCTTTAAAGTACAACTGATACACGTGACCCTACTGTTGTATGATATTATTTATAGTAATATATATATAGTATCTTTCAAAACATTATAAAACTTTATGCTTGACTTTTAAATATTTCAGTAACATATAAACAGGAGTACTGTACAGTGAGGGATTGAAATGAAGACAAATGCTCGGTTAATCCAGTTGTAAGTCCCCTCCCCCCCCCCCACACACACACCCTCAATTCCCCAACCCAACGACTACGAGAACGTAATGATGACGGATGTTCAAGATTAAAGTGCGTGAAGGAAAGGCTTGTGAAATTAAATGGGCCTTAAAAGCCTACTTTTCTGCACCAACTGACTAAAATAAATGAAATGAAATGAGATTTAACGTCCTACTGTTCTGCTCCAAACTGGGCTAATTAAGAAGGGGAGGACTCCATACAGTGTGCTGTGAGGCAAATTTTGCCCGGGCAGCGGCCCCACAGCTACTTTTAAATCGAATTCCAATTGCCATGGGATCTTTAACGTTCACGCCAATGTGGGATCTCGGTATTTCGTCCTATCCGCACGACTATATGTTGTCCCTTGCACCGCTGAATAGGAGGAACCACGGAAATCTCGAAGAACTTTCTCGGCCAAATAAGGGATCGAACACGGGGCCTCCAGGTTTACCCACTTCACTAAAGGTGAAGGCAGTAAAAACAATACAGACGTTGGTCGACGCCCCCCCCCCCCCCAATCCCTACCCAGATCTTCAGACAAGCCCTAACGATACGCCCGGCATTGCAGGCGCGCGCAGCCCTTAATATATCGTATAATTCCATACTTACCAATCTAACCAGATTCAATCTTGCAGTTCTTCGCGTCGTAACGCTAAATGACGCCTAGTCGAATGCCCCTTGTATTTATATGCAGTCTGAATTTAAATAAACCTGAACACACCCCACTTTATGGCTAAGCCATCCCGCGTGACCCCTTTTTCGATCCCAATTCTCGAACTTTCTATAGAACAAGATCAATGTATTTCAATTTATAAAACGGATGATATTAAATTTATAAACAGGTAACGGATATGTACTGTTTACCCCACGATAAAAACCGATAAATATTCCAGATAAAGACAGGTTTTGAATGATGATAATAATAGACAGAATTTACTGTCGTTTTGAAGTTTGAGGAGTTGGGTGGCCAAATAGTTAACACGTGCACGTTAGATCATATGCTATGTCAGTAAGTCAAGAGCGTGGTTTCGATTCCCCGCGTGTACGTGACAAGGAGTAGGGTCGCCTGTCAATCCTTGTGGGTTGGTCTTCTCTGGGTCCTCTAGTTTTGAGGAGTTGGGTGGCCAAATGGTTAACGCGTGCACTTTAGATCTTAAGGTCTGTCATTGAGTGAATTGCCGTGGTTTCGATTCCCCGCTTGTACGTGAACAGGGGTAGGGTCGCCTGTCAATCCTCGTGGGTTTTCTCCAGGTAATCTGGTTTCTTCACACTGCTGAAGATCCCTACGCCCAAGCCAATTATTGAAAGTAAAATTTAAACATATGTTAGACCAGAAAAACATCGTATGGGCATAAATTTCCCCCCCCCCTCTCTCTCTCTCTCTCTCTCTCTCTCTCTCTCTCTCTCTGAAGTTATCCGGTTGTTTTTTTTTAAATTAGGGTGTAAATGAAAGGGGTACCTTTGTAAGTACAAGATGAACTACTGAAATCAAATGGGGCCTGGCAGACGTTTAGTGGTTCGGATAGGATGAAAAACGAGGTTGAAGACGGAAAGATCACTGTTCGCGAAACATATATGTCATAGTACAATATTTAGCCTATGTGCGTCTTTTTGAGCGGAGTTTGTTCTGTAACTAATATGTCATGGCAGCAGAAAACCGAGTGCAGCAAAACTAACCCAACAAATTAGGAATGACCAGAGTCTGATACGTCAGAGTAATGGCATCTTCAATAGAAGAGTTCGGTGCGCTTTATCTCCGTACATCTTATCAAGGCTTTTGCGTAATACCGTGCATATTTCAGCACTAATTTCGAGTTGATCTTCTCTATCCCTTGTATCTACGCAATACGTGAGCGTATACGCTAGCATTCCTGTAGAAAGTGTAGTATACGCACTCATAAATTTAGAGCCTAAGAAAGTCGAATTAACGCGAAATAGACATTTAAGGCACACCAGCAGCAACTGGACTAATATATTATATCGACCTCGGATAGGTTTTTATGCAAGACAATGATAAAAGCAAATTCTTATATTATCGAGCCACAGGTGCACTCAATCAGAATGCGTTAATGATGCATAATTGAAGAGGTAATTCGACGTATTGTAGGTCTTTCTTTAGGCCTTAAATGTTCAATTTCATTTCATTTCAGATATGAAATCGCGACGTGCATTTCTGATTTGTGACAAAGTCTTCAATCTCGATTAAAAAGACGCATTTTTGGCAAGGGTTGTGTTGGTAATTTGGCAAAATGCCCCCACCGATCTCGATTATATTTTTTTTAATGTTTTTTTTCTCATGACATCCAAAAGTAACTTCTGTAACAAAAACGAAGAAAAAAGAGGGGTTTACCCTTCTGAATTTATTTTAGGTCAAGAAGCCAATAAAAAACGTGGATGATTAAGTTAAAGGGAAGGTCTTGTCAGTAACTACAGTAATTTTTGATTGAATGGGATTCAAACTATCAATGGCTGCATGTGGGACCCTTTTCCGGTTGTAATCGTAACCCTAACCCTAATCGTAACCCTAGCCCTAACCTATAATCGTGTCAACAATCACATGCCCTAACCTTGTTTGCCGAAATCTGCAGGTGGCCTTAGTATTTAGATCTAGCCAACATTCTCCAGTTTCTCTTCAATGGTATTCACATTGAATCTGGTCTCGAATTCACAAAGCATTCTCAGACTTAAGTTAAGAATTTACTCAAAATTGTTCGCCTTTTTTTAAATAAAATATAGCCCTCTATAATATTATAGCCATTTATAATTTATAGTTTAAATGTATCAATAAGAAACTATGCGCAAATTTTTGTGTTTCTGGATCAAAGATATTTCTCAAAAACTGTGATTGAAAGTTGAGTAAATTCTGAGAATACTTTTTGAACTCGGGGCTTGGACCTCTGTATCATAAAACCATGATTTTTAACATCTCCATTCTGTCGAATTCAATTTTTTGTTTTTTAAAAGATTGGTCTCGTGATGCGTTTAGGCGATTATAAGGTCTGTCATTGAGTCCACTGGTGTGGTTTTGATTCTACAGTTGTACGTGACAAGGAGTAGGGTCGCCTGTCTAGCCTCGTGGGTTTTCTCCGGGTTCTCTGGTTTCCTCTCTCCGCTACACGCAAGCGAATTATTGAAATAGAATTGAACCACATATAAGCCAGGAAATAACGTACGTTTAACTCATTTCACTCTCTCCCCCCCCCCCCTCTCTCACTCTCTCTTTCGCGCGCGCTCATTTCTATCCAGTTGGCGAATGTTAGGCCTATCTATTACCTATTAGTATTAGCGTATGCCTAAACACGTGCAACTGCACAGTTGCGCCTAATTTCACAAATAACCACCGACATTTGCCTGAAATAACTTGGGTTACATATTTATATACAAATCTACTACACTATCAATGGGCGTATGACAACCCGTCGGACAGGAAACGACTGAAAATAAAACAATAACTTTTCGCAAGTAAGTAGAAAGAATACATATTATTTCGTTTCCAGTAAATCAGGGCTTATATTTCAATCTCTAAGGAAATGAGGCATTTTTTGTCATTTGACCGTTTTGGCAAAACGAACCCACCGATTACACTTGCCGGCGCGTTGTTGTATTAGTGATTTCATGGGATATTACCATTTCAAGAAACGGGAATTTGTAAAGCTTGAAAGGGTGGCTTATAACAAATAATATGATAATAAAAGGACGATTATCAAAATCGTTCAGGGAGAGAGAGGGGTTGGAAATGAATAGAAGTGGGACATATCGTCCTAATATTCTGCACCGAGAGAGAGAGAAATGGGGTTTAACGTGCACTCGACACAAAGTAGGTCATTTCGGGATTAACATATGGTTAATTTTAATTCAATAATTCACTTGCGCGTAGGGGTCTTTAACAGTGGGAGGGAAACCGGAGGACCCGGAGAAAACCCACGAGGTTGGGCAGGCGACCCTACTCCTTGTCACGTACAGCTGGGGATTCGAAACTACGCCAGTTGACTCAATGACAGCCCTTATGATAGAACGCACGCGCTAACCATCCGGCCATCCAACACCCTATTCTGCACCGACGGAGCTTATAAATAAAATGAAATGGGCTTTAAACTTCTACTGTTCCTCGGGCTTATGAAGATGGGCTTACGCCATACAGTGTGCTATGAAGGGAAATTTTGCCCGGACAGCGGCGCTACGACCTACTCTTGTATCGAATTCTAACTGCCAAGGGATCTTTTACGTGCACTCTAATGTGTATACAGAACCTTGGGTTTTCGTCCCATCTAGAGTAGACAGCTGTCCTGCATAAGAGGAAACCAGGCCGGAGAATGAGCTAATGACCACGGGGAATGGTTCGGGGCTCCATCCGATTATTTTACAGAAACAAGACTCAATCTCTTGAATGGATATTTCCAATAACTGGTTAACAGTCGAACAGTTCAACTATTTCTAATAAATTACATCAATCCCGCATGAAATTGAAAACAATCGTATGTGATAAGTTCTGCTATTAGTTAAAAGATCAAACAAAAAGTTACACGTTAAGCCCGTAAAAGATCTCTTAACAGTTCGAATTCGATATAAGTGTAGGCCGTAGACCCGCTGTCCGGGCAAAATGTCTTCATTATCCCTGTCGGAGCAGAAAAGTTGGACGATAAACCCCATTTCATTTCTTACATTCTGATCAGTATTTACCAAATAAAGATGGCTAGAAAAAGGCTACATTTGACCTGCGCCACCGGTGGAAATGTGCGTTGTTTTAATCCGGGTGAATCGTTGACATATAATTAAAGGCGGAATAATTGTAGGACCCGGAGAAAACCCACGCGGTTCGACGGACGATCCAACTACTTGTCACGTACACGCAGAGAATCGAAATCACGTCAGTTGACTCCAGGTCAGATCTAATGATCAAACACAGTCGCGTTAAACCACTGGACCCCCCACCCCCACCCCCAGGAACATCAACAAATATTGTACGCAATGGCTGTATTTTAGTTAGTGCACATGTGATAAACATTACCATGTATTCCGGATGTTATTTCACCTATGATCTGTACTGTATTAACTCCCTTTTATGTAGTAATACTAATTTGCATATTCATTGTCACGGACTCCCGATTGGCCCTATTTTCTAAATTTAGATTATATGTATTTTATTGACATCGTACGCAGGTGCACTAATCTGTTTACTCGCAAGCAAAACATATTTACGAACACAGTAAGTAGCGATGACTAACGCCATTTCTTAAAAAGATCTCAGTTCCTATTCATATAAATGCGCGTCGCGTTCAGTCTAATTGTTATATTCAATAAGAAATTATTTGACGACGCAATGAACCAGATTAATGTGTTACCATTTATTACAAATTAACCCAGTAATGTTGAATATGTGTCAGAAAAAGGCGCCATTTGTAATGAGCGACCACCATACAGTCGTCCGGAAAGCAATCTAGGTGGTTTTGCATGCGACAAAATAATCAACTGTGTGTGTGTGTGAGAGAGAGAGAGAGAGAGAGAGAGAGAGAGGTGGTGTTTAACGTCCAATCGACACAAACTAGGTCATTTCTGGATGGTTCGACCCATGCGGCCAGAAATACAACTGTTGAAGGGTAACTAATATTGTGTGCATTGTCTAAAGGGGCATTATGGGAGATTAGATCAAGAGCTGACAGTTCTCACTATAATAGTTAAAAAATAGATAAT